GCGCAGGGCGCCGCACCCCGGGGGAGGCCCGGGCCAGGGGCCTGCGAGCAACGCGGCCCATCGGGGCTTCGTAGCCATTCCAGATCCCACCAAGCCAGCTGGCTTGCGGGGGGGAGGGGAGGGGGCTAACGTTCCTCTCTTCACTCCTGCTCTCTCAGCGCCCCCCCCCTCAGTCCCCTTGGGGCTAGGGGCGATTTTCCCCTTCCAGTGCTGGGTCACACCGAGCACCAGCCAGGCTGGGCTCTCTGGGCCCTACCTCAGTCCCCAGGACAAGCACAGTGCAGATGGGGAAACCGAGGCACGGAAGGCTAAAGGTCCACACAGCACTCGAAATAGAGACCGGGAAATCAATGCTGTCTGACTGAAACAGCCACACCCCACTGCCTGCCACAGGCAGGAACACACCCTACCCCACTGTATCCTCGGGCACCTGAGACCCACCGCCCTTTCTCCACAACCCCCCAATGGCCACAACGTGACCATGAAATCAGAAACATTTGGAAAGCATTTCCACTGGCCCTGATCAGACAGCACACGGGAGCGCCGCACGTCCCGCTTTGGCCCTGCATGGCCCATGTGGGAAAGGAGGGGGTTATAAACGCCCTGCAGAGAACCCCTGGCGGGCATTTAAAGGGCAAGTTACGCGGCACTTACAGCACACCGACGCACTGCCTGTGTGCATACAGCATGAAATCCTTGTGCGGTGCCAAAGCATTGCGACCATGGGCCTTGAACGGCAGCTAGGCCCATAGATAGATAGGGGGTGTGTGTGGGGATAGATAGATAGATAGATGGGCTGAGTGGGGATAGAGGGATAAAGGGGGCGCGTGGGGACAGACAGACAATCCCTAGAGGGCCTGGGCCGTGCCTACATGACACCCTGGCTCCCCCGTGCATTCAGGGCCCCGAGGGGGGACTCGGAAGGTTTCGTCGCTGAGCCAGTGAGAGCCCAGCTCCCTGCTGCCGTTGGCCATGCCCGGGGAGATGTGCCCTGGGGGTGTGGGATGGGATCACAGAGCAGTGAGTCCTTGCCAGCCCCTCCCTGCAGGGACAAGCCCCTACCCCCACCGGAGCAGCCAGCCAAGACCCCCGGGTACGTATCCAAGAGACAGCTACCTCCTCGGCCCTCGCTGTCCGCCGGCTTCACCTGGATGGGGCGATTCATCTGCAACAGAGGAGGAGCAGCGTGGTTAGTCTGCAGGCCCGGGTGCATGCGGGGCTACTGGCTGGATCCTGGCCCCACGGACGCAGGAGCCACCAGCAGGGTCTGCTCCAGTTGGCACCGCTGGCCAGCTGGGGCTTCCCCCGTGATGGGCCCAAGTGGGAGCGTCCGCACAGGGAGACAGACCCCCAGCGCAGTGGGCAGAAGCCAGCCCTGGATCGGGGGCCTGGCTGGGCTGGACGCTGGCAGCCTGGCTCCGACGGGCGAACGTCCCGGTGACACTGCCCGTGCCGAGTACCCACCCGGCTGCTGGCCAGGGCTCCCTGCCAGGCGGGCCCTGCGCGCTCAGCCTGCACTCAGCCGTCCCTCCCAGCTGGGCCGGGCCTGGCTGCTGGGGATGAGCTCCCAGCCGGGAAGCCCCATGGCCAGCGGGAGGCTCTGACAGCAACAGCAGGGAGTTCCCAGCCCCTCTGGCCTCAC